AAACCACCTTGGTAAATGCGGAGAAACAATGTTTTATGAACGAACATTCACGATCTTAAAAAATCTCACAATCAGAAACTTTTTAAAAGCGAAGTACACCCTTCCTTCAAGTAGAAAATTTAAAGAAGACGCAATTTTCTAGAAAATAGGCAAAAGAATATATATTTTTATGCACATCTTTGATAAACTATAGTTTAATTTATAAGGGCATCGAAAATTAATTAGAAAAATCGATGCTATTCGAGTTAGCATTTTTTACAGACTACAATAAGTGACCGATCTCATGAAATGTTGGCTGAAATTCCGAAATGCGTTTTCGATTAGGAAGGATTACTCGGTCGCGGTTGTAATACTGATTATCCTGCGGCATACTCTTATAACATTTCAGACTTGGCAGGATGTCGGCTTTTAAATGCCCTTCTTTTCAATCTCCTGAAGAAAGCGCACTCGGTAAAAATTGACTACTTATGTAGCATGCATTTTTCCCATTGATTTTCGATGGTCTTGGAAATTCAAATATATTTTATAGAAACCACAAACAAAAATATGCTTTCGTTCAGTCAATCAATAGAGAATCACGTCTTCTTTATATTTTAGACTTAAGGAAGGAGTATAATTAGGGTTTAACAAAGTTTTCTAATTGCCGAATAATTTGGAGCCTGATCATTCGTTGCATTAGCACTTAGTGATTTCACTCTACAAGGTGCATGCGTTCCGCGTAAAGAAAATCCCATATTTTTCTGTGCCATTAAAGAGATATCATACAGAATCCATAGAATTTTGCAATGGATGGGAACCATGTTATACATTTCATGAGGAGCAGTGGTAAACTGTCAGGTACGATGCTTTATGAATGGACATTTCGCGGTCTTATAAAGTCTCATAATTAGAAACTTTTTAAAACCTAATTATACTCCTTTCCTAAGTCTAAAATATAAAGAAGACGTGATTCCCTATCGATTGACTAAACGAAAGCATATTTTTGTATATGGTTTCTATAAAATATATTTGAATTTCCAAGACCATCGAAAATCAATGGGAAAAATGCATGCTACATAAGTAGTCAATTTTTACCGAGTGCGCTTTCTACAGGAGATTGAAAAGGAAGGCATTTAAAAGCCGACATCCTGCCGAGTCTGAAATGTTATAAGAGTATGCCGCAAGATAATCAGTATTACAACCGCGACCAAGTAATCCTTCCTAATCGAAAACGCATTTCGGAATTTCAGCCAACATTTCATGAGATCGGTCACTTACCGTAATTTTTGCAGGCGGCCAAAAAGAGGTTCGTTCAAAAGCCGGAATCCTGAAGTAACTGAATCATTATGGGATTATGCTGCAGGATAGTTAACGTTACAATCCCACTTGAGTAACCTTTTTGAGTCGAAGACGTGTTGCAGAATTTCGTTAACATTTCATGAGTCAGTACATCTACTGTTAGCCTGATTACCATGCAGAATAATTCCAAGGCATTTCATATACGTCCGGGTATGGGCCTATCAATGCACGATCTTCCGAACACCTGCAAAAGCCACATTTTTCCAATAACTGGCTGAAAAGGTAGTGTGCATTTTTACGATTGATTTTCGATGCCTTTGGAAGTCGAGACATATTTTACGGGAAACATGCACAAGATAATCATTCTGACATTCTTTTGATAGTAAATTACGGGATGATCGCTCAATAACCTGACCCACCGACGCAGGCTGCGTATGCAGTGCTCGCTCGCTTGCTCTCCGTGTGGCGAAGTGCACTTCCACGGCAGTTCTCACCACCGAATAAGGAGGGGGTGAGGCCACTTCCCCTTGGTGCTTGACTGGGGGTCCCGTAAATCATGACTCAAGCAGCTCGCGGCTAACACCATCGTCACCTAACGTGAGAATTGGGGCCTCGTCGGACTTAAATGTGTGAGCGGATTCTGTCAAGTGAGCCGCCGCTTGAGAGCTGGCATCGTTTTCCCGCACTTCTGTCGCATGCTCGACTATTCGTGTCCAGAGCACTTCTTAGGTTGTTTTTCTGCAGTCGCACCAGACCCGATAAGCGGCTGCAGGTGTTTCTTATTGTGATCAGTGTTCACCAACCCGTTTGCTTATTCGTTTTGAGTTCGACAAGTTCGCTCACCTGAGATACACGTGGAAGTACCAGTTAGTATTGGCATGAGATTGAAACCCTCATCAATTATGATACCCTGAGGCCGCAGTATGAGAATGACATCTATGCAATACAGTTGACCACTGTTATTAATTTAATGGCGTATTGTTGGTATAGTACGCGTCGCAATCTGAGGATTTCGTGGCCCAGCTTTTCGGCGGACTAATGGATCTAGTAAGGTCCACCTGTAAATGAATTTGGCGTTGACGAGAGCGGTAGGCAGGGTTACCTTCAGACGCTCTTCGCTTACCAGTTTGATCGTCGCGGACGAAGATGTCGAATGTGTGTCCCACGCCATGCGAGTGAATTTGTTCATAGTGGAGACGGACTTTCACAGCATCTGCCTCACTCGCACCTCCGCCACCCACCTGGGTCCGGTGTTAAGACATAGTCAGGAAGATGGGATCAGGGCCGAACGCAGGAACGAACGGGACCGAACAGCCCGTCTACGCGTGCCACACACGCCCGGTCAGAGCACGATGGGCTGGGCTATTACAAAAACAAGGGGAAATTTGGACCTCATCTGGATGGGAGTGCCATGGATGCCGCATCCAGAAAGAACCATTGAAGCCTGACGTTCATCTCTGAAAGGACCGATTTAGCTCAGCGATTCCCATTTACCCTCTGTATGAAAGGTCGGTGGCTGTGGCCCAAGTTGAATCGTACCCTCCCCCTCCGAATAACATACAACTTTGTTTTCCCCTTATGGCACAGACAACGCGGCTTTGAACACGTGAGACAATTCAATCTGACAGGAATCGATCAGCCTTATGGGTTCCACAGTTGTCCGCGTACAGCCAGGAAAAATATCACTGGAGCTGGTAGGACCTGGCATGCTCTAGTCTACAGCATTTCCGCCTATGATTAATCCTAGCTGTCTTAACTTTAGGATTCGCTAGTTTCTTAAGCAAGTTCTTATTTTGAGGAGACAGGTTAGAACAAAAATGCAACTTGTGGTGAACTGAAAACGCAAAAGAAGCAATGATTGGCCATCCAAGCGTCCTGGATCATAACTGGCAGCCACCCTTGGGGGTAAATTAATCGTCACAATGCGGACGCCTGGACGTCAAGGGCAATTTCAATCTTCAAATCAGCAGTTGTCCTTCCCACGCAAGAGTGTTCTCTGTACTTTTTTCCCAACCCATACGTAATAAGGCTGTAGCCTGATCGGCAATTGCTTAAGGGCAGTCATTTTTGGACATCTGGTGATGGCTAGAATCAGACGGAGAGAGACGGGGTGGCGAGCCAATCAACATTATCACGGAGCGCCTTCCTGTAGCGTCATTTAGGCCCGGTATACCGTTCCTGTGTGGGCGCAAAAGGACTTTCTGCAGACTCCGCAGATGTCTTGGCCCAGAGGCAATTAGTCTCACCCCAGCATGCATCCAAGTAGTCATTCCGCTGGAGGATGTAAAACACTCCCCCCGCTCCCCCATTCCCCCACCCTCCACGGGCGGCCGAAAGCCGACCAGTTAAGGGTCCCTGAAGTCATTTTCGACCTAGCCTCAAGGTTACCAAGTGATAAAAGCCCCGCTGGTGAACGGACCGTCAAGTTGCCTTTGGGTCTAGTCTACAGGACACTTTGGGGGCGTTGCATTGGTAATTACTTCATAAGCTGTAAAGCCGGCAGACGATTACGTCAGTAGCACTTCAATCAACGAAGTGCCTCAAAACGGGTGGTTACAAATGAATCCGCTTATGTTGGTTTTCTGATGGTCCAGAGCTACTCCTGCAGTTGGAATCGCTTACGATCAATCCCCTAACTGAATGGTAATTATTGCGCTTAGCCGGAAAGGTGTCAGCACTGGCTCGTAACATACGCTGGTCCAGTCGTCCTAGGTCTGCGTGAGCCCTTAATTATAGTCGTGTGTGTTTTTGGCAACTGCCGCATTACCAGTCGAACAGTAAATGGGCGATTGCGAGGGAAGAGACTGAGGTA